GATGTAAAGCACGGGACCCAAGACGCTGCCTTGGGGAACACCGGCTTTAACGGAGTAGATATTGGAAAATTCTGTTCCACAGCGAACTCGGAAGGAGCGGTCAGAGAGGTAGGATCGGAGGACTAGGTACAAGGACTGAGGTAAATGGATTTTAAGCTTGAAGAGCAGTCCGGAGTGCCATACCCAGTCAAATGCCTGTGCAATGTCCAGAAATGCACCCGAACAGTATTCCTTGTTTTCTAGGGCTGAGGAAATATGATCAACAACTCGGAGTCCTTGTTGAACAGTAGAATGTTGGGAGCGAAAACCAAACTGATGGGAAGGAATATTTTGGGATTCTATAATGGGTAGGATTCGTTTCAAAAGGATCTTTTCAAAAATGTTTGAAAGGATTGGGAGTAGGCTAATTGGTCTATAGGATGTTGAGATATTGGAAGGTTTGCCTGGTTTTTGGAAAAGGATAATAGTGGAGTGTTTCCATAGCAGAGGAAAGTGGGTGGTGCGTAGGATACAATTGTAGATATATGTAAGGAATATGACTGCTTTGGATGGAAGTTGTCGAAGGATTTGAGGGGTAAGGAGCTGTCTATATCAATGATTTAAAAATGAATTAATCAAGAAAACTTATCTCATTGGGTAATGAACTTCATCATTTCCAATTTGCAAAAAAATAAAATTAGATCATTTAGTTATAAATGGAAAGAAGGATTAGTGGTTCACAAAGCAAATGAAACTGAAACAGAACTCATAATTTCAAAAATATCAATGCACTTGCAGTACAAATGAGATATATTAAAAAATCTGGTGTGGTGCGTGCATCACACAACTTTCAGAAAAAGGAGGAATGAAAGTAAAAATTATAAATGCTATATTGATTAATATTTCATTGGCAGTATTTTTATTTTTATAAGTACCCTATATATATATATATACAAATTTTAATATTTATATCTCTGTAATCTGTACAATCAAATATTAAATAATACCAACAATAGCATCTATGATCTGTATATATACATTATTAGTCCTTATTATATTAAGCTCATGTTACGTATGGAAGCGTGTTCTAATCTTTTGGGCGAGCTCGGGTCAGCTTGGGTGCGCTCTTGTTACTTTGGTACCTCAATTACAGCTTTTCTCCGTTACGATCTCTTATTTCTCCTTTAGTTAATTATCAAATTCTTTCATATTTTATATTTAACTATCTTTTATATTAGAGATTAATGTGAAATGGTCAATTGTTTCAAATAAAAAAAATTACAGGTACTTTAGGGGAAGCTGATATTGAAAATTAGCCATTTAAGCTCTATTACAGAACATCAAGCAGAATAAAAACTTATTCTTCTTCTTCTTTGTCTTCCTCTTATGCCATTAGTTAGCGTCGAGGAGCCTCAACCAGTAAAACCACTCTTCCCGGTCCGTGCTTAGTCGCTTCATCTCATTAAGGGTTTTGCCTCTTTTACATCCAATCCTTTGAATGTAATCCTGGAACGTGAGTCTGGGGCGTCCGCGTGGTCTCCTTCCTGTGGGTCGAGCCTCTAATATCCTTATAGGATTCAAATTCTCATTCATGCGGCAGACGTGTCCAAACCACTGGAGTTGCCGTCTTTCTAGAGTAGTTTTAAGTTCGGCAACTCCTAGCTGCTCTCTAATGCTTTCATTCCTAATGCGATCCCTTCTAGTTCTGCCAACAGATCTGCAAAGGAACCTCATTTCTGCTGCCGTTATGCGACTAGAGTGCCTGTCTAGCATTGTCCAGCTTTCTCCGCCGTAGGTGAGTGTAGGTAGGTAAACAGACTTATATACGTGCATTTTGGTCTTCTTGTCTACTTCGCGATGGCCGATAATGCTATTAGTAGTCTGGTAATATACCTGATTCGCCTTACATATTCTACTTGATATTTCGGCGTCTATCTTACCAGAACTACTAATTACGGTCCCCAGGTAGGTAAATTCAGTCACCACCTCAAGTGTCTCGCCATTGCAGATCAGCTGGACATCTTCTCGCTCTTCCCTCGCCATAACCAGCACTTTACTCTTGGAGGTGTTAATTTGCATCCCTTTCCTGAGCCCTCTTTCTTCTTCTTTCTCATTCTTCCCACTCTACCAAAGCTTGTTGTAGTTTGGTCTTCGTGTCGGCTATTAGGACTATGTCATCCGCGTATAGAAGGCTTTGTATGAGGACAGTTCTCAAATTCCACTTCCCAATTGTTGTCCACGCAGTTCGGTGTTTACAGATTTTGTGGATTTCATCCATTACATTTATAAATAGAAGGGGACTTAAGCTATCTCCCTGTCTAACTCCTCTCGCAATTGGAAAAGGTTCCGATTCCATACCGTTCATCCTTACCACTGCCATGGATCCTTTATAGGCTGACTGTATGGCCGCCAGCAAGTCTCCAGGTACACCCTTGGCTATTAGGGCATTCCAAATTTCTTTTCTTGGAACCACATCAAACGCTGACTTCAGACCAAGGAACGCAAGATACAGATTTTTATCTCTGTCCCAAGCTTTTTCAGCAATATTTCTGAGAACAAAGATGTGATCCTGCGTCTGTCGGCCTGGACGAAAACCAGCCTGTTCCGCTTCCAACTGCCCTTCCACAATCCGTCGGAGTCTCCTTTCTAGTATAGAAGTATAAAGTTTATAGACCACTGATAGCAGACTAATGGGTCTATAATTTTTGCAATCTGTCGTGCATCATTTTTTATAAATCGGGAGGATTATGCAATATTCCCAGTCCTTGGTAATATTCTTTCTGTCATATACTTCTTGGAACAGCGATTGTAGTGCTTTAAGAAGTTCTTGACCACCGAATTTTAAATATTCTGGTGCGATTCCATCCCTTCCTGATGCCTTACCTCTTTTTAGCTTATGGATTGCATTTTCTATTTCTTCTTCCTCTATAACCTCCAGGCTTTCTTGAATATTGGGCTCTTGCTCTTGATAATGGTCTGTTTCTGGATTTTCGGAGAATTGTTCCTGGAAATATTCCTTCCATCTGCCAAGGATCTTTTCCTTGTCTGTAAGTAGGATTCCATCGCTACCTTTTACATTTCTAATAGGCTTGCATTGTTTTCCTCTTAACATCTTAACTTTTCGCCAAAATGTTCTTATAGATTCGAGATGATCCTCGCTCAGCCTTTTACCAAACTCCTCCCACGACTTCTTCTTCGCCTGGCGTATGGCTACCTTACATTCATTCCTGGCTATTCAATATAAGTGTAGCTTTCCTTCAGTTCTATCCATAAGGTATGCTTTCCAGGCAAGCTTCTTCCAAGAAACCAGTCGTTGGAGATCATTGGTCCACCAGTCTGTCCGCTTTCCCTTACCAGACACTCTCTTCTTCCCACAAACTGTATTTGCTGTTTCCAGAATACATATTTTCAGTGCCTTCCATATCTCTTCCACGTTTCCCTTAATTTATTTTCCAGGCTTTCTGTAAAGAGGGCCCTTTTCTCTGGGTCATCCAAGGCTCTTACGTTGAGGGTTTCGAATACTTTTGTTTTCCTTTTATACTCCGGGATGATCTTTGTATCAGCCACAAGTAAAAGGTGGTCACTGCTTATCTCCGCTCCTCTTACTACTTTTATGTTCCTATACTGCCTTAATATGAAATACTGCCTTATGTTCCTATCATATATGAAATAGTCAATTATACTATTTCGTTCCATGCATGAAAAAGTGATTTTGTGGATTCTGTTGTGTAGATAGAAAGAATTTCCTATGAGGAAGTCATTATGTACGCAAAAGTCTATTAGCCGTTGTCCATTAGTATTCCTCACATTCTCACCTCCATGCAGCCCCAAAACTCCATATCCAGATCTTTCATCATTTCCTGTTCTGGCATTGAAGTCCCCACTCAGGATTACTGACCTTCCTTTTCCTTTAGCTTTATCCACTATTTTTTGCAAATCCGAGAAGAATGCCTCCTTGTCTGCAACACTAGCATCTTCCGTTGGTGCATACACCTGGATTATGGAAATCTTAGCTATGATCATCTTAAAATCTGCTACAATCATTCTTGGAGATATCGGCTCCCAGTCCTCTAAATGATCATACATATTAGGCGACATTACTAGACCCACTCCCTCTTTGGCGAAAACCCCTCTAGATACTCTAGCATAAATTAGGGAGTAATTATTAGCCAATTTCATTTCTCCACTGCCCTTTTTCTTCACTTCACTTATGCCGAGGATTTCTACTTTGTAGGTCCTCATTTCCTCCACCAGCTCGACCTCCTTCCCACTTAAAGTTTTTATGTTCCACGTTCCAATTCGTATATCCCTTAGTGCGCCAGGTCGTTTCCTTGAAGACAGTCCACATCCGAGGCTAGTTGAATTGCTTTGAATCGTTGATTCTCCAGACGGGTGATTAGCCCAGTGCTGGAGGTCCCGTATCCTCGGGACAACTGGCCTCCTGAATATTTATATCCCCTCAGGAGGAAGGGTGGCCGGGCTATATCCCCCAGCACTGGGTACCTGTTGCTCCACGGGTCTTTATTCTGTATATTCAGACCGACCCTCCTAAGAGGGATCCCCTATCCGCCACCCGGGGTACACGCTCCCTGGTGGACAGATTCCACCGAGAGGAATAAAAACTTCATTTTATTTAAAACTGGCAAATTTTACACTGATATGATGAATTTAATAAAATTGTTAGAGCCATTTTCAAGAAAATCGTAAAAATGTGTTTAGCCCATTATATAAAGTGCCACTTCCGGTCAGCCAAATTTGACGAAAAAGTTGGTGTAACATCCCTAGCATATAAAAACCTTAAATATCGCTATCGTACGATTTTTCAATTTTGAGTTAGACTGTTGACACACACAGACCATTTTGCGGGACTTGGTTATTTGGACTCAGGAGACCTCAAAACGTGTATTTCCATTGAAAATTCCGATTCAAAAATGTTCCCGATTGCAATACTTTCCCTTACTATATATTTCATATATAGGTAAGTGAAAGTAAAGAATTAATTTAAATGTTTTTACTTACAGTGAGCAGGGCAGTCGCCGAGATGAGCGTACAACCTGTAACTGCAAGCCAGGAATACCTGAAGAATCCTGATCTCAAGAAGGAAGACATTGAATCTCTTCGAAACTGGATCATGACACAACCTCAGCTTCCAGTTCCTACAGGTTTTACAACAGAATTTTCATTTAACTAATGTGATAGTTAAATAAAATAAATTAATTGTATCTATTCATATTTAAACCAAACAATACTTAATTTATTCATACCCTTAGCTAAAAATTAACTATTTTAGCGTAAATAAAGAAACTACAGTTTAAACATGTCATTTATAGATAGTTATACAGAGAGTAATTGATTTTTTTTAACAATCAGTGACAACTATCGCAGAGGATTTGTTTAACTCTTGCCTAAATATTTGAGACTCAAGAGCATGAAACTGAGGTAACAACAAACTTATCAGGTGGATAACTATTTTAAGGATAGGTTAATTATTTATTTCATAGTTACTTTCTTTTAGAATATTTAAACACCCACCTGTTGCTAATAATTAATGATTCAACTTTTTTTTTTTTATTCATAGCTATTTTCTTTTAAATTTTTCCATGCTGGAAGGGAGGGCGGCCGCCCTACATGTCCTGTTTTGATACATCCATGTTGATGTATCGTCTCATAGATGAATAGTGGGATCCTTAAATTACAAAAGGTTCTGTTCCATAATGTATCTTTCCTCTCTCTGAAGTCTCTCCAAATATAAATATCTGATATGTCAACTCACATAACTTACCTTAACACTTTGGGTGCAATATCCAATAGAAAAATTATTTACTGTATCTTCACCATCCTTGTTTTTGTTTATTTAATGAAATTTACAACTATATACAAATACAACTAGTAAATATGCACAAAATAATGACATGAACAGCCTTGAAGAGGTACTACCCAGTGGTAGCACTCCCTAAATAATTCTAGGTAAGAAGATCATCAGGCCATCTTCTTTTCATACTCCTAGGAGGATTATCAAGAATCGAGGAAGAAGCAAGGGTGGAAACAAGTGGATTTGGATGGGACAGGAGTTTATCATGAAAGTATAGATGTTTGGCTCAGGCTAAATCAACGACTTAACCATCCCAGTAGTTTTTATTGGCCAAAAAAAAAGCACATCAAAGTTCGACCAGAGTACAATTCTTTCCTTACATGAACTACTGAGAACACCATTGTCTATACAAAAAACATTGTCTGAAACCATTTCCTCTATTTTTTTGCATCTATATACTTCATTAATTCTCAAAATATATAATATTTGTGTCCACAATAATAAGGAAATAATTTCATAACAACATCCATAAAGCCCAAAGTTATTTTTCAGTTACCTCTGTGAATTACCAAGTCCTATCTTGTAATGAGCCTTAAAGTCCTTTAGACTTTTACATAAGTTTGAGAGTACTTAAGCTTTGAAAAAATGTTGAAAATATAAATGTGTTTGTTCAAATATTTAATTCTTGTTTATTATTTCATATTCTTGACCTGAATTCACTTTATTTATTTTTAAAAACCACAATTCGAACCAGTTAACATTATTAATCCTTGCATTGAATGAGGTTGCAATGATCGAGCATGCTGGGATAATACACAGTCCCCATATCACAAGCAACACTGGTACTAGTGATGTGATAAGTTTGAGGAGAGGGAGGTGGGAGTTTAATTGAAATTTTGTAGCAGATCCACAGAAGAAATTGAAACCTTCCCTTCTGACTAGAACAGATTGGTAACATATGGAATAATTCTTGTTCTGGATAAATATTTATATGCAATTTTTTATGGAAAAAAATCTACAGTAAGTTACATAATTTGTCTAATTAAAAAATATATATTGCTTAAAAAAATGTCTTTGATCTAAAAAACAAAAATCCACACTAGTTGAAGTTTATACAAACATAAAAAAGTATGAGAATCACATTATGAGTATCATCGTTTTAAAACACATTAACATTGAAATTTCAATTATGAATCATTAGCATACATACGTTTGTATCGGGTAGATTTTAAAAACAATTACATTCATTTTTCTTTTTTATAGAGTAGTAAGAACTTTTAACTTGATAAAATAATTTATTTTTAATATAAGTCAGGTTGTTTATTTTTATATGGAATGTAGTTTTTTTCTTTGATTCCACAAACCATTTTTTTGATTGATTTTTTTTCATGAAAAATGTGCGTGCCCATATTTAATGAAGGCATGTGCCTATGTATACAAGTGGGACTAAAGCATTTATTCATTAAAATATTTCTGTTTCAGAGGAGCAATTAATATGTTTTTATCACAGCTGTTACTATGACATGGAGGCAACAAAATCTTGCGTGAAAGTTTATTACAATATTAGGTCTAGCACACCAGAATTCTTCAATGACAGGGACCTTAGTAGGCCAGAACTGAAACAGGCTCTAGAAGCTTTGTAAGTATTCTTACAACCCGTGTTGACATATTCTTAATGAAGTACAGTAAAAAATATTGCATGAAACCACAAATTATTACAATTGCCCTTGGTTAATTATTTTCTATCCAAAATTAAATAAAACAATACTTATAATGATTTTGTTACTTTGTATTTTTTTTCAATATTTAAACATTTACAGAAACCATCACTTCCTGTAATTAGCTTAAATCATATTTTAAATTTCATTTATTTAAATTCATTTTAAACCATTTCATCATCATCATTTTATAAAAATAAAAATAATTGTTTTAACATCAACTTTGTGTAAATAAAAAACCATCTCAATTAAAAATCAATAATCAACCAGCTAAGTAAAATAATTAATAAAAAATAAGTTGCTAAATGAACATAAAATTAAGCCCAATAACTTATAACTAAAAACATAATATTTATTGCTATACATTGCTTATTTTATTTTTAAGACTAATTTAATGTCATATTTTATAGATATTTCTTAACTGATCATAGACATCATATTTCTCCTCTTCTTTGTTGGAGATGCCTATATAGTAACAATAACAGTTTTAAGCCAATAGTCTTTAATTCATAATACTTTTTTCACTGATTAAAGAGCAGTGGACTTCTAAAAATTGTTGTACCAGGAGTTAAACATTGTCCCAAAAGACATTATTTTGCCATTATTATGGTTTTGCTATGTTATCTGAAATCTGTTTCAACTGATCAAATTTATAAACAGGTGCAAATGACAGATCATTCTTTATTTGGTCTTCCTCCCTCTAAAATTGAATTCCTTCCTCCATTTAACATTACTAAACGTTTCCTGAATTTGTATGGAATTTTTAAAACATCACCTATCAATTCATCCAGAACCAAAAATTGTAAATACCTTCCACTCCTAAAGCTAAAGTTGTATTTATTTTATTACTATGGTTTTATCTAATCCATAGGGAAATTTATGATTGTAATACCTGAAAATTGTAAATACCTTCCACTCCTAAAGCTAAAGTTGTATTTATTTTATTACTATGGTTTTATCTAATCCATAGGGAAATTTATGATTTTTTAAAGATCTTCTATAGAACTTGGTAATTTTCAAGAAGTGCAATAGACATATCACTTATGTTTTCAAGTCTTGAAAGATTTCTTGTGAACTTGGTTCTCTTGTTTGAAATATTTTTAGACATTATTTACATTCTTTATTCTAGAGGTAGAACCTAACCTATTGAAACCAGAGGGGGAGCCCGAGATTCATTCTTTGGGTCCGCCACATAATACTTTTCAATCCATCCAGATCAGATTCAAACTGAGTGTGACTAGACTGGAGAATGTTAAAGTTTACACTTTAGCACACTCTAACACTTTAACAACCTCTTTAGGCTTCATGCTATCCCTTCCTGCCCAAATGACCTTGCCTATAGTCAGATTTATGTACAACCTTCTTAATTTCTTTTTTTTTTTTCAATTTCTGCCATATCTATTCTAACCTATTTGTAAGAGTGAGAAATTCAAGATTCGATCAGTGAGTCCATCACAAAATATATTTCAACTTGCCCAGGCCAAATACAATATTAATGTGTGCATCACTATCAACAATCACGGCCTCACTACCCTCTTAACTGTAATTCTTCGTGATGTTCGACATATTCAGCTTATGTTGAGTAGAGAGTCACTGCAAGGAAGTCTTCTTCTATCAGGACTATATTACTTGCATAAATTGTTTGGCAGATAGACTGTCAGCTTTAATTTATTTGCAGCCAAATCATTGTTGTTCAGCTAGTACATTGTTTTATCCTTTTCTAGATTTTACTCAACCCTCCCAATTAAAGATCCAAATGGCTTCCAAATAGTTTTACATGGCTTAAGACAGTATGAAGCCAGCAAATATAATTTCTGTAATGGAGTCAAACTTCTTGCAATGGCCATTGATGCTGGCTTAATGGTCGAAGGAACAGTTCCTGGTTATATTTTTCTTTTTGACATGAAAGGAGTAAAGTTGAGCCATTTAACACGTCTTAGTTTTACTTTTCTCAAGAAATTCTTCACTTATATTCAGGTAAAATAAATTTCTTATTTATTTATAATAAAAACCTAATTAGCTTAAGTGATTATAGAAGATAACAAACTTTTACAACATCTCTCATTAAATTCAAGCTTTATTACAGATACAATTCTCATAATATTTAAATAAATATATTATAAATAATGTGTTCTATATGCATATATGTATTGTAAATCATACTCTTCAAATTTATAAAAACCTCTACCCAGTGACAGCCTTAGGATAAAGTACATGGAGCAGTAGTCCCGGAGCGCCAAACTGGAGGGGCACCCTTCAGATGCAGAGGATCTTCAGAGGCACTTGCCACTTGTTAGAAATTAATAACGATACAAAACATATTAAAATAGTTAATTTTAGCCTAATCAATTGTAAGGTTATGTTACAAGATCAATGGGTCTACTCTTGGCGCGCGTAGGGACCCTGTTCTGCAGTGAATCTTCTTCTATATTGTTTTGTTCTTCTACAATCTTCTATTCTTTCTTTGTTGACCCTCACTACTTGTTAACTCACATTTTCTTCCAGCAGTCCTCTTTACTAGCCGGCTGGTTACCTTCTGACCTAACATATGGCACTTGCATCCTCTTCCATATCTCTTGGTCCATTTTTGACAGTAGCCCGTGACGTCACTGCCTTCGCCCCTCTGTTTAAAATCACTATGTAATATTTACATTGCACAATATAACAACTGTATTAGAGAAATGTTGAATGGAATAAAATTCAAATATTTCATAGTATAAAACAGCTTAAGAAATAAAATTGATTTTTTTTTTTTTTGAATGGAGCAGAAGACGTCATTGGCTGGGGAGCTGAATGTCTAAGGCTGGCTCTGCCTGTACTGTTAAAAAACTTTTAAAACAAATTTCTTGTACTGGCTTGATATAGAAATAATCAATGCTATAGTTTCAGATTTTGTCAGGCATATCTCCCTTATTGGTTTATTCTTTCTCCAATAACAGAATTTCAAACAAATCTGGGATTGTCGCCTGAATCTTTAAAAAGATACATAAATATGAAACAAGTATAATTATTAATCACATAAAAAACAGTCTCAAAAACAGTTTTTTTTTTACTCTCACTTATTTAATAAAAACATATATATTATTTTTTTCAGGAAGGCAACCCAATAAGGTTAAAAGCAATCCATGTGGTCAATACATTACCAATTGTAGACAAAATCATGTTTATGATAAAGCCCTTCATGAGGAAAGAACTTTTAGAATTGGTAAAAAAAAGAAATTTCTCTCTAATACTGATTTTTGTTATTAGTGTAATGTTTAATATTATGGTTTATAAGTGCTACACCATAAACAGCACAGAGGTCTTAGCAATATACATGCCAGTTATAGCTCTCACCCATACAGATTTGTGATGGGACATATGGTAGGACTGCTACCCCTATTCTATCAACAAAAGAAATTCTATCAAACATATTGTTGATTTATTGAAAAAGTCACTCATTACATTTTAGATGGAGCTGAATTTTTTAGAACATTTTTGCTTTATTTACCAAAAGTAAGACACTGAAAGTATCCTAAAATGACACAAATCCTTTTATATATCAAATATGGTTACAGTAAGTGCACATTTTTCTGGTTTCACAAAGGAAAAATTCATCAAAGTTTTTAGTGATTTTTTTTTTTTAATACAGTTGTAAATTTCATTAATAAATTAAAAAAGCAACACAATTCTTTATGAGTATCCACCAACCAAAGATAAAGATAAGAATAATTTTTATGGCCAGATGAAAATGGTATTCATATCACATCCAAAAAATAATAAATTGAAGTTGTTATTTTAAATAATATAGTTTTATTTTATATTTTTTAAGTTATAATATATTAAATTTCATCATATGCATTGCAGGTACACTATCATTCATCAGATTTCTCAGAAATTCAGGCTGTTATACCCAAAAGTTGTTTACCTAAAGATTATGGAGGTGATCTGCCCAGTATTACAGAACTGCATGGTAGGTATTTTTTCATATTTCATAAGATTATAGAAGAAAAACTATGTAATGAAAAAAAAAATTGATGGTTTATGCTGTGTTTTGGTTAATTCCATTTTGCCTGTTAACTTTAATGATCACTAATTTTATTTTTTTTAACTTTGATTATTTTATTTTTTAAGTCAGTCCTCAAAACACCTAGGAGATCTCAATAAATCCATTTATGGTTTTTATTAAAAGTTAAAATGTTTATAAGATGATGTAGCATGAATTAAGATCAGACTGTAAAAACATGGTCAGACCGTAAAACATAATAATTGGTAAATGGTTGACTGTCGTGGATAATGAAGAGAAGAATAGTTGGGGTGGTCAGTCAAAAAAGAATAAAAAATAAATGATAAATATTAAAATAAATATTAAAAATAAATATAATATAATATTAAAAATAAATATTATCATTTATTTTTGCCTTCTTTTTTGACTGACCACCCCAACTATTCTTCTCTTCGTAAAACATAATAATTTCTAAGTTAAATATTAATTAAAGTTAATATTAATATAACCAACCGGTAATTCGGGCTGAAGTCTCCCTACTCCTTCCCCAAAATGGTCAAATATTACCATGTTTTATGGAAAAAAATATTGAAAAATTATCTCTTAATGTATTATTGTTCATGAAATTACATTTAATAGGACTTCAAGAATCATATAAACACCATTTCACGTAGGTAGTTAGTTTATTTCTTTTTTTTCCAAAGTAATTACCGTTATATATACGAAAAAAAAAGTTTCCGGCTGAAGCCCCCTCCCCCCAAAATTAAATCCTGGATTCGCTACTGATAATCAGTGACAGCCTTATACATTTGGTATCCCAGAGTAATCACTTTATGAGGAAGATAAAATGAAAACAATATGAAGAATATTGCATATTACTTCATTATATTTCATTCAATAAATCTGTAATTCATTTGAATCATTAATAGGCTAAAATTAATTCATTTTATACATTAGTGTAATTTAGTGTAATCGTAATGGGCCTAAGTTGCTTGGCTCTAAGGCTGGCATTGATTATAATTTATATATTTATATTAGTTTATTAATTTTTTTCCTAACATATGTATATGTATATACAACATATATATATATATATATATGTATTACTATGTTTCTGGCCTCGCGTTTCTACGGTGAGTAGGGGGTTCCAGGAACCGCATTTATTTGTATTTATATGTATTTATATCGGTCCCAGAAGGGAACCGATCAACTTAAAAATATATTAATGATGTATTTAAATGTTAGATACCACAGACCCCCTACTGTAGTATCCTAGATTGAACCATATAATTTTGATTGGATTTCTTTTCTAGAGGTATCGTGTTTTTAAATTTACTGTTTGTTTCTATTACTACTTGGTGGCATGCAAGGTAGAATGTAAAATTAACAAGATGGTTTACTAACTATTATATTTACAAATTTAAGTAACCAACACCTATATACAATGATATTAGAGAATTATACCAGAGGAGAATGCTATTTACAAATTATTTCTGATTATTGGTTGCCAACACGAGTTTACATCATTATTACTAAATGAGGGTTATTACCTCCTAGCTGGTTCTTCATCACCTTCGAGTCTCCTTCCATGTCGCTCTCCTCAGCCTCCGTCTTCCTCCCAATGTTCAACCTTCCTCACTTGAGTCCCAACTTGAAGTCCTCTCCTGAGTCCCAGCTATCAGTCTGCATCTTGCTCTCTCCGCCTCTCCTGATCAAGTTGTCCTCCTCAAAACTCTAACTGTCCTAGCTTCCAGTCACCCCCTCTCTTTTTGTACTTTTTTCTGATTTGCTGAATATTCCTAGCCTAAGGGATGACCACGCCCTCTCCCCCAGGTCAAGGTATTCCACTAACCAGGTATATTTTATGTATTTCTGGAAGGTGTTAATGTTTCTTTGGATCCTGTTTAAACACTCAGGTGTGAGACTGTTGTCGGTCTTGGTCGGTGGTTCTTAAGGGTTTTTATTACCACTTACAAAAGGTTGGGCTCGTGGGTCGTTACCCTCGCTTAGGTACCCAACCGCCAGGTGTGAACAATTATGATATTTATTTATTTATACCTTAAAATAATTAAGTAAACTTCACAGGTGGTCTTTAGAATACACACACATATATATATGTGTGTGTGTGTGTGTGTATATATAATGGATCTAGAAAAATATTATTTTCATAATTTCTGATTTTTAGAAAAATACACAGACTGGATGGAAAGAATGAAACCATTATTTGATGAAGAAGAAAAATACAGAATTAATGATAAACAAAGCAGAAAAGATTCTAGTGATGAAATAAATATAAGAAACTTAAGTATAGATTAAAATTTAATTAGAGATGATTTTTCACTTCATTTCTGATGAATTAAACAAAAAATTGTACATACATTAAATATAAGAAAAAACTGTGTAATAGTTTTGTAATATTATAATTGTAATGGATAAAATATTATTGATTTATATTTCTGTATATAAACTCCAATAAATCCCACCAAATTACCTTTACCCTTTGTCGTAAACCAACGACTTCCTGTCCTACAGTTTCCTTTAACAATACTCCACTTATCCCTGTTGAGCAAATCCGATACCTAGGACTTCACCTGGACAAACGACTAACTTGGAATCCTCATACTAGACTGAAACGACAAGAAACCGCTCAACGTTTCCGATTACTTCAGCACTTACTAGACAAACGCTCTAAACTTCCCATTAATTACAAAAGGCTCATATACTTGACTATAATAAGACCTATTTGGACTTACGGAGTTGAGCTATGGGGCTCCACTAAACCATCGAATTCCTCTCGCATCCAATCCTTACAATCCAAAATCCTTCGTAAAATCCTCAATGCTCCTTACTTTGTCACTAATAAAATTATCCATAAAGATCTTAATGTTCCTTATGTTTTAGATCTGGCCCAATCCAGATACCTATCCTTCCATAATAAACTTCAGAATCATCCCAACCCTCTCGTTTCTAACCTTGCTTCCTCTTCAATTCCTGATAACCCTCCGAGGCGTCTGAAAAGAAGATGGCCCCGTGATCTCCTAATGTAGTCATATCATTAGAGTGCTACCATTGGGTAGTTACTCAGCAAGTGTATTCATGTCATTATATCAATTATATCCAAATTTACTTGATGTATTTATGTAATACAGTTGTAAATGTCATAAAGAAATAAAAAAAAAAAATAAAAAAAAATTTCTGTATATAGTATAGATTTCTAAAGAGAAGCATTTGAACCGTCATACAAAGGCATGTTTCGTGTCCACAAAAGAAATATTTTTATTAAACTTTATAGGAATAAGAAAATAGAGGTCAAAAAATGATTCATTTATTCTGTGTATTTATTGATTCCTGAGAAGTTATTACATAACCCTTCCTTTGGAAATAATAACAGCGAATAACCATTTGTAAACCTCCTGCTGTAAGAGCAGCAATGTTCCATTTTCAGAAGGTAAAGTACATTATGAAAATAGATCACGTTACCATTGACCAAAAGTATGGAATAATTCATTAAGGTTGTGGTCGGCACGAAGTATTAGAAAAAGGTGACCCAATAAACTTTTTTACTAAAATAGAAACCCATAAATAAATGCTATGGCACATATAAATTAAAAAGTTAATTTGTATAAAACCATTCAAGGTGTGCCAACGTTTCAGCCCACTTTGAAGGTCTTCTTCAGAAAAAATATAATTGATAACCTGGGCACAGGAATAAAACCTGATGCTGCAACCATAGATAGCTATATGGTGTCCCCTAACTAGAGGGAAATATTTAAAAGGTTGATAGTAGACATCAAGATCTACAAAAAAGTTCATATAAACAATTGCCCAATTTCCAGCAGAAAAGTAGGAAATTTAATGTTTGTGTTTTTTTATGTGAGTCACGTTTTTTGTTGAATAGGAAGTGATAGCTTAAAAAATATTTGATTCAAGTAATTAAACATTGCTCTATAGTAAACTAGACAAAATTTACTTTGAGCAAAAGTTTTAAAAATTGTTATAACTATTTCAAGACGACTATTGAGCTGACAAACACAATCATAAATTATTAGTGATTTTTTTTTATTTTCCTTCAGTTGTACTACATTTAACCCACTTTTAGAAAAACTAACTCATTTAATAAGCTTTAAGAATCTTTCCAGAGGACCAAGGAAACTATCCGATAGAGAAGAGGAGGTTGAGAAGGCAATAGCGAAGACAAAGGCAGGAAAATCAGCAGGGCGAGACAGCATAGTTCCAGAATTTATAAAATATGGTGGACCAGAGTTAGTAGGAACTCTTCAAAACTTCTTCCAAAGAGTTTGGGAATATGAAAGAATCCATAAGGAATGGGAATTAAATGTTTTAATACCCATACATAAGAAAAGAAGACAAAGTGATTGCTCTGATTACAGACCTATCTGCCTGTGTCCAGTCCTCTATAAACTATACACCTCCATCCTAGAGAACAGATTAAGACCACTGGTGAAACCTGACCTCCTGGAAGAGCAAAGTGCTTTTAGACCCGACAGGCAAACAAATGATCACATCTTTACTTTGAGAAATGTGATAGAGAAGTCCTGGGACCGAGACCGAAATATTTCTCTTGCCTTCTTAGACTTGAAGGCAGCATTTGATTCGGTTCCCCAGAATGAAATTTGGGAATCCTTAAAGGCAAAAAACATCCCAATAAAGCTTTTAAAGGCTATAAAATCGACACATCAAGAGCCGAAAGGATTGTACGCCTGAATGGATAAGAGTCAGGAATATTTAGACTCGAAAAAGGAGTAAAACAAGGCGATTCCCTAAGCCCCCTTCTCTTCATTGTCTATATGGTTGAGATCGTCTCCATCTGCAAAAGGCGCACAGCATGAATGCACATGGGCCATTGGAACTTGCTTCCTGTAGTTGTACAGTTTCTCCTATTTGCAGATGACATCGTTATAATTGCAGATTCCCCCGAGCGACTTCAGCAGGCAGTAGCAGAGTGGAATGAAGAATTGAAAAGGAAGGGAATGACCATCAATTCTCAAAAAAGCAGGCATTCTCCATCAATTCTCGGCAGAACTCGAAAGGATATCCAGATTGTCTGTAATGAAGAGGTCATGGAGGTGGTGACAGACTTTGCCTATCTGGGTACAGTAATCAATAGGTCGGGAAAAGTAGATTCGAAAGTCTCAAGCAGGATATCAAAAGCAAATTCCATCTACTATACATTATGCAATACCGTAATCGGAAAAAAAGAAAGAGGGCCAGGATGTGAAGCTCCATCTGTTCAAGTCTGTCTTTCTACCGGTACTTCTTTATGGTACAGAGAGTTGCATCCTAAATGAGAGGTTACAAAGCCGTGTTACTGCCACTGAGATGAAGTTTCTCAGAAGAATTGTGGGGAAAATGCGGAGAGACTGTGTCCGAAATGACAGGATCAGGGACTAGCTAAAGATACGCCCCGCGCTAAAAACTCTGGAGAGGAGACAGCTGAGATGGTATGGGTATGTCTGCCGGATGGACCACCGCAGAGACCCAGTTAAAACCCTAGAGGTGAGGCCGATGGGGAGAAGACCGAGAGGGCGACCAAGAACCTATCTTCCAAGAATATTGGAAGACGAAGAGGGAAGACCCTGGAAGAGATGAGGAACCTTGCCGGGAACAGGGATGCATGGAACCGATGGCTGGAAGCACCTCCAAAGAGGCAAATGGGTGGAAGAGAAAGAAGAAGAAGAAGTTGTACTACATTTAATCCCCTTTTAGAAAAACTTCCTCGTTTAATGAGCTTTAAGTCCATATTAATTAAGTTGAGGTTTATTAGGAAAAAATTTGAGATTCACCTCAATTTTTGTAAAGAAATGATGTGATTGTTCTAACCAGTTACCTAAAAGTACCCATGTTTTTGCATAAAGACTTCAATTAACTGTTGAAAAACAGGATGTATTGTAATACACATAATTGCCTAAAAGCACACTTTATTTATAAAAATAAAAATAATGATTTTTCATTTAAGGTGGTTATTTTATTTATATTAATTTTATTTTTCTTCCAGATTTCTATCGTACGAATTGATGCATATTTATAAATGACAAACTTAATGTTTCTAACTAAAATTTTCATTTAAAATAAAGAAACTTAATGATTGTTTCAATTTATTTTCATGAAAACATAAATGTTAGGGCTATAAATTACATTTTATTCCTTAGCCTTTTTTGCAGAATGATAAGAATAAAGGTTCCGTGCATCTGTCTTGCATAGGACACATAATAAGGAAATACTACTATGGTTTCCACACTTTCTGATATCTCCTTTTTTGTATATGGGAATTGGTGAGAATTCCTAATATTAGAAGGATACCAATTCTTTTTTCTCTCCAGATTTGGTTTACAAGTTGGAGACATTTTTTTTTTCATCTACTTCTTTTCAGGATATTTCAGGTGTTATACCATCTTGGTCTGCTAATTTTCACAATCTTCATTCAATCATTCTTCTGTATAATCATCCTTCCCCCAAATTCTTTGCGGTTCATGATTGTTACCTTACCTGTTCATGTATCAGTTTCACCAAGTAGTTCTTGAAAATATTCTTCCAACCATTCATTATTTACTTGTTTTTATTCAAGAGTTTTCTACTTCTGTCCTTCATAAAATTTAGGATGGATTATCTTTCCTTCAGGTTTAATTTTGACACACTTAAAAAGTTTTTGATTTACGTCTACATTAGTCTCTAATTTCTCAAGAAATATTTACGTGCCTTTTTCTTTGCCTAGATTACTGCTACCTTTCTTTGATTTTTGAATGTTTTATTTTTACTCAGGGTTTTATAGCAAGGTAATGTTTCCATAAAACTGTTTTTCTATTTTATTTCAGCCAATTGTTTCTGGGACCACCGTGGCATCCTTATATGATCATCAGTTTCAATAGTGCTAACTGTCAAATAAAGACCAACAATCCTCGACATTGTCTGATTCTTAGTGAGCTTGAGTGTCACTCACTGATTTTTTTAACCTTTTTGGTATAAATTGCTGGACACTCCAACTATCCATAATCAAGTTATCAACCACCAAATCTTTCCACCTTCCCTTTGGTCTTCCACCCTGTCTGACTCCATCCGGGATTCCATAATATAATTGCCTGGCTGCCCTAACATCATTCCTCCTGATTACATGTCCTGGCCATTTGAAGTGCTGAATTTGCAAAAAATGGGAAGCTCGGAGATCATCGTATAAGTCGCACAGATCTCTCTTTGCCTTCTCAAGGGGCACAAACGGATTTAGCCAGATAGGCTCCATGATGTTTCTCAACACTTTTCTCTCAAACCTATCAATCTTTTCAGCCAGGATCTTGCGTAGG